CGATGTAATAATAATGGTCGCGAGCGTATCGCCGTTCAAATAAATTTCCGTTCTTCCGTGTACAGTAAACGGCACCCTGCACAATTTGCGATTTTAAAGTTCTACGAATCTCTTGTATCAGATCACATTAAAAAATAATATCACGCATAAAAAGAGGATACATATCTAATATTGATTAATAGTGACTGACCGAGACGAATTCAACCGGAAAAGGAACAAAAGAAGAATATAGCGCTGCACATAGAAGTTCAACACCCTGTCTGTATTCCTCTACAAGCAAGATAAGAGAGAATCTAAGTGAAAGCTTTAATTTGAAATTAGATGCCTCCAAGGGGGTGGATCGGGGGGTGGAGGCAAAGGGACTGGTTACGGCCGGCAATGGCTTCTTTTCCTACCGCCTTCGTTACCATCTTCTTCTTCACCGCCTCGTCTAACTTCTGTATACCGTTCACCCTTCACGCTTACAATCTTGTTTTCAAGATAGCGCACTAACTTTTTCGGTTCCGTTTTCGGAGCGACTGGGCGATGCTCACGCGAGTCGTCGTCCCTGTCGACGTAACTATATCTTGCGATGATACGTGACTTTAGTTCCTCATCGTTCAGTCTAGCCCTGTTGCGACCGTTCGGCTGCCACAAGATAATTACGTTATTTTACGTCGTTTAACTAATCATTGATAATTAACCCCATTGCTACTACGAGATTCTATAGGCTAGTTAGAAAAGGTCCGTTTACAGAGGGGTGTATGAATGTAATGCAGCGTAGATACGACAAAAAGGGTATAGCTTTTAAATTTGTTTCAGAAAAGGAAATACTTTATATTATTTTTATGCGAAGTTACAAATGACTCGAAAAAGAGAATGTATTAAGGATAGCCAGAATAACAAATCAAATCTTGTGTAAAATCTATTTTTCATTAATTATAAACTATAAATTAAAGAGAATATTAAATATTCAAGTTTAAATTGTATCTGATTAAAAAATGGGGTCAATGTCTTTTTTACAGAAGTTATTCTATTATAATTCAAAAAAAGTTTCCTTAAAATGATACAGTAAAATACTTACTGTTACAAATGTCAGGTTACTAGCAATACTTTGTCCTGCTTCTTGACGATGAAGAGCAAGCTGAGCAGCCTCTGTAATATCACCACCAGCTACAGCTAAGCAATGTCTTAGCTCGGCTGGACTCGCAGCTGGAAACATTTCTTGCAATAGTGCTACTTGATGCCATGATGATTCCTAAGTAGAAGAAGAAATTGGTGTATTAAAATATTATTATTAATATACTTAAAATATACTTTTATAAAATTAGATATTTTCAAATAGTATATATCTAAAAATGTTAATAAAAAAATGTCTTATACAATGTAAGGAATGTGAAAAATTAATATATATATATATATAAGGCAGACAAATTCAACTTACTTCTTGAAAGTATTCTCCACTAGAATCACTACCAGCATCACTTGTTTCAGAAAGATGATGAACTCTCATTCTTTCTGTACCAGGTGGTAATAGTGCAGTCAGACTAATTTGACTCAAAGGATCTTGAGGCTGGCAATTTTGATTTTCTTTACTCTCTTCCCGTAACTTACTTTCAACATCTAACAACCACTTGGATACTGCATCCTTTTCAATCTTTGAAAACTCAGGAAGACAAGCGGACACCATTTCACAAAGTCCATCAACATCTAAGTCTTCCTCAAGTGCACTTTCTTCTACCATACTTACCACATAGCCAAGAACAATATCATCTATTAAACTAAAAAAAAAATGTTTTCAACTCGAGTTAAAATAAAAATATAATTATTCTAACACATGTGCCTCTACCTAATCATAGGTGATAAACAGTATCTAAATTTACCTCAATTGGGCAGTAGGCACCTCCTTTCTCACAAAACTAAACAATGACTTCTTTACCAATTCTTCCTTTTCATCCATTGTGCGATTCATCCTAGAACAATCATTAAAAATAACTTACTTAATTTTTGATAATACTTTCAGGATGAAAACACAATATTATTATCATGCTTAATAAGACTTTTAAAACTGAGTAAATAAATATATTAAATCTTATTAAATGATGTTGTTATAAAACATTATCAATAACATTATCATTATCTTATTTAACAATAAGAATTATAGTAAATATTAAGTTTCTTTTATTTAAAAGTTACTGAAATTTTTAATATATGAAATAAACTTTTGCACAATTTTTGTTTTTGCACAGTAATTTTAAAAAATACAAGTTTACACAGGTATTTTTTTCTTTAAATTCTCAATAATGACAATACTCACATAAACTATTAAAAAATAAAATTCATATTTTTTAAGGTACATATATTAAAAACATATCCCAGAGAAAAGTTCATATGTCTCACGAACAATTAAAAATTGTTATATGAATTTTCGAAGCTTCTATTTACGATATAAATAATTATTTCGTAAATCTGCTGAATACGGACTAAATAAAAGGAAATTTTCCGCTGCGAACATGCCAAAACCATTCAATTTACTACGCAGTAAACTACTTGCAATTACAATTCAACGACGCACAATATCAATATGAAAATTTTGATTCAGAAAATCGAAATTTTAAAAGTTGAAATCGTGATTTAGTGGTTTACTTTCCAGTTAGGTTAAGAGAAATAAGGTAAAACGGAATCCAGAATGTTTCAGACGGAGTTAAGTTTAGCAAGGAATTCACGGCGGGTTATTCATTTTTTTGCAAATGAAAAGAAATTATTTTTCTTGGCGGGTTGAAAGGTGAAAATAAGTAAAGAGGGTGTATAACAGAGAAATGGAAAAAGGACAAGGAGAAATTGACAGGAAAGGTGGTAGCAGCGCCGGTCATCTCCAGTACTGTACAATTCTATTCATTAACGGGAACAAATGAATCTCGTGGATTAACAACGATATATTTTGCTGTGAGAAAGCAAACAAATACGCACCTGATCTTTTTTACTTGTTTGAAGTCTTCGGATCGCGGATATGGTTGAAAACTGATAAAAATTTCGTATACAAACAACGTTCCTCACCTTGACAGTTCGTCAAGAGGAGGGATGAAGATAACGTGGCGCCATCAGAGTTTGCGACCCACTTCGGAATCAAATCAGCAATTTCTACTACAAAATTACATTCTTTACTTGTGGAAAATGAAAAATATATACCTGTTCTGACAGTCACTATAATACATCTAATATGTATTATGTTAAAAGGAAGGCAGACGTCCAATTTATATCAATACAATTATATTACAATATAACTCTTCAAATGTTTAATATATAAATATTAATTTAGATATTATAAATTTTATTTAAAGAATGTATCGAATCAAATGCGTTTAGATAGTATTAATTACATTGAATTTTTATTTAATGAATTAAAATTGTTTGAATGAAAATAATAAAATATATTAACGCGAAGATTTTTATTTTTTAACTTGCAGTATGAAATAAATAAAATTGAAACCAATGGAATATCCGATGCAACCCTCGGACGCTATGATATTTAGGACATTATATGCATACTTTATAAGCTTAAAATGAATTAATGATTTCCTGCGGTTTCATTACAGGAAAAAATCAGGACGAAGTAGTTTATCATATTTTCTACTATAATTCGAAAATTATGTTTCCCAATATTCTGTTACATTTATATCACAGTAAGTATTTATATATATGATCAAATTTGATTAACTTTTATATCTATGCAAAATATTTATATATTTCATTTCATCCAAATCCCGACGACTAAAATAATCATTACTATTATCAATTTTTTAAATGCATGAAAATCATTGGAAGTATTATAAGAACATGATGCAAAATACAACAGAGCATCATGATTAGCTAATTCTTAATATTTCATCTTAAATTAATTTTATTAATTATTTATTAATCATCATTTAGTTGTTACAAAAATACAAATTTGTTTAATATCGTTCTTTTTCGCACAATCTTATTTGACAATATAAACAATAATATTATATTAATAATATTTTAATTCACACATTTTATTACGTGTGAGGGCTTTTATATTGTTTCTTTGCATAAAAGAAATAAGACCAATTGCTTTTGCTATATATTACTATAGCAATTTATTTATAAGACATAATTTCACATGTTACAATGTACACATACTTTCCAATCATACATGTATTTTTACAGTAAACGTAGTTTCGCAGCTAGCTTCGATTTTTAGTCGTATCATATACGTAGAGAGTTACTTTTACATAATTATTACGAATAAATTGAAACAAAATTACGCATGTTACTTTTCACCAGAACAAATTTACCAAATCATCTACAATTTATAATTGGAATTATAATACAGAAGAAGCCAAGTGAAAGTATCGTTAATTTATATTTCGATAGCTCATCTTTGTGATCTTACCTAATAGTAACGAAGGTTCACATCTAACGTATAAATGCATCAATTTTTTATTGATTCGACAATATTTTATGCGCATGTGAAACGCACGATGAAAACTATATGATCCATAAATACTAACGTTGTACTGTTTTTTTGCAAATTATACTGCAAAAATTGTCTTAAATTTAATAGGTATTACTTTCTCATTAAGAAAAGAAGTCATTACATATTGTTCACATACAAGTAATTAAATAAAAAAAAGGATATTTATAATTTTTAATACAAGTTGAATTAATCATTGATATTACAAGTCATATGATTAAAATTGATAAATTAACTTCTAATTGATAATCTAAATCGATTTTCAAGTAACAAGATTACAGTTATTAATATACTGCGCCTTTTTCGCATTTATAGTGCATTTGAATGGACAAAACACATTAAGATAAATCTTTGTAAATACTTAATGGAATAATAAATTTATTGTTGTAGTAAGAAAACAATAAAATCAACGAGGTTCATTTTTTTTCCACTTACAAAAATTAAAATTTGTATCAACACTCGTAGTCTAATCATCGATCGATTTGTTAACAAATAATTTATAAGAAAAAAAACGTAGAAGCCATGTATCGCGTAGAAACTTCCACGTGTACACCCAATAAACTCGATTATAGTACTTTTTCAATATTTACAATTAATTAGTAAAATTACGATTTTAATAATTTTAATTTGAAATCGTACTCTCTAGCGTAATCTTTCGCATGCAAATATCAATTTCGAATGGCGAACTTGAGAAACATGATCGAAAGATATATACTGCCGCTACGATTCGTACGGTAAAGGGTAAAAATAGTTTTACTTTTTTTTAAATTACGTACGCTCTATTTACACTGTCACTGAAATATTTGTCATACTTCTCTTAGAATGAATTATAATCGTACTTTGAGTTTTAACTAATCAAGATCTAAACAGAGTGAAACTAGGTATGTACCTGAAAGTCCATGGCAACAACAGATTACAGGAAACAATATCACAAAAGTAGTACATTTTTTTCTTTATTATATACGTTTCACATAGAAAGATAATTATCAAGGTCATTGCTTTTTAAAACATTAGTATTTTAGAGTAAAAATCTATTAATTGTATTTTTATTGCAATACTGTATTAATTTTAGAATTCTTAAAAAATTGAAGTCACAGATAGTTTCACGTTTGTTTCTCGTTTTCCCTACTTCTCATAAATTTTCGCAAAATTGAACATTTCAAAACTGTGTTAACAGAATGAATATCCTGAAAAAATTTCAAAGTGTAACATTTATGAGAAAACAAAATTTCACTTTGATCGTATGAAGTTAGAATTTACTTGAAATTATTAGTTAAAGTAGAAAAACGGAACGAGTAATGTACTTAGCATAGTAACTTTTGAAAATTACTATATTATTATTATATTATTAACATAAGAAGAATATTAAATAATGAAATATTTTTATTAGATAAAATTCACTCATATTAAAAAATGCAAAAACCTACGAAATGACCTGATATATCTTTCACACAAGAGATTCTCAAAGAGTCCTCTTTGTTTGCTTGCCAAAGAAAATGCTTCCTCAAATAAATTTTATTTGAATTGATTTTCTATATTACTAAACAGGTTTCTTTTCTTTTGAAGGCTCTTCTTTCTCAGCTTCACTCCTTTCGCCATCTTCAAGTTCGACGGAACTGTAATCCCTGGACTCTTCCTTGCTGTCTTTAATAGAGGTGGTTTCTGTTTCTTCGACTATGTCTTGTTCCTGTTCTAGAAAGTCTGTAGGTACAAATTCCATTTGATCTTCACTGTCGTTTATGTCGAGCGGTTCGGATATTTCACAGAAATTGATTTCCCTTTCATTGTCGGTTATTTCGTTGCCACCGGGATCGTCTTCTTCGTGTAAACTCATGAGCTTGTCAAACCGAGGGTTCGAACTATCTTCATTGTTCTCGGGAAATATCGTAGGACTGAGGGGTATATCTAACGGTTCCATTTTGACCGTAGTAGTGGGCGACGTGGGAGTCACTGGTCGTTGTAAGCGTATCTTTGTGAATGGTTTTGGTTCCATAGAATCTGAATATTGCCGTTTCTGCGTGCGTTTTGGACTAGATGGTGTCGAAACTCCGGAAGTGGAAGCTTTCTCTTTGGTCTCTGAAGCGGCTCGAGGAACTGATTGAGTTGCTGCTGGCTTGGATTGCGGAATCAATAGTGGAGGCTTTGGATTCTGAAAAGTAGATAATCATTGTAAAACATTAGTGGAACACATGGACTTTTTAAGAATTAGAATACCAATGTAGGATAGAGCCTTTTAATGTTTGTTCTATCCATGTTTGTAGTAGAGAAATAAATCACTAATTTCAATCTTTTGGTCTTATCGTAAATATCTGCCAAAATATATCCGTTTTTCACTGATGAGATGGAATTACTTTTTATAAAATTTTCATTTTACCTGTGAAGAAGGATTTGGTCCAGCTAATCCTTTTACTTGCAGCGCTTCCGCTGCATTTAATAATTGTGGCAGTTTGTCGTGGGCAACGTTAACTTCGCCACGGTACATGAATTTGACTAGCGCTTCGACTTCCCAGAATTTAAGATCTTTCATTAAAATAATCGGATGTTGACAAGGGTTCTCCCTTAACAAGTCTGCGAGGTAATCGCTGCACGAAGACAGTATCATTTTATGACACTTTAACGAGCGACCCTCACAGGCTAGAGTAACATCAACAAACTGCTCTGATTCCAGTAAAGATGGAAAACTGTTTTGCATGTTACTGTGGTAACTATTCCATCTTAAACAAACCTGAAACAGAAATATTGAACTATGTTAGTGATACATGTGACTAAAAATGGGTATGATATGTTTGAAAACTTTAAATATATCTCATAATAAATACCTCTGTGGGTTGTTGATGTACAATATTATGAGGTAACCCTTGGTTAGCTTGCCGGGGTGGCATTTTAATAGTTGTTGGTGCAACTTGCTTTACTTTTAAAGGTATTGTTTTTAACACAAGAGTCTTTGGTTGTCGTTGCTGTTGCTGCTGTTGTTGCTGCTGCTGTGGTAATGGTGCTGGTGCAATGTTTCGTATATGAGGCCTCACCAATGACTGTGCAGCTATTCTTATAGTTTTACTATACTCTTGCGTATTACTAGTTGGTAATACTGTAAAAGAAAACAGCATTTATATATATATATATTTTTATCATCTTATGATTTTCATACTGTATAGTATGATTCTCCAGAGGATATTCCAATAGTAACAATATAAATATTAGATAAACTATTCATTATTTAAAAAGACATATCCTTTTAATTATAAACACCAGTATTTTCAAGTATATTTGCACTGTGTATATTTGCTATATCAAGAATATTCTTGGTAAAGAAATGATGCTGATTTAATTTTTCAACAATAAATATTTAATTATTGCTACAATTCAATATAGAGATCGAATCAGCGACTGTATCTCTATTTGAAAAATATTTATATTACTCTATGATACTCAAAGGTCCAAATTTTTTAATATCTAAGAATACTTATCCATGACACTTAATTCTAGAAAGGCTTAGATACGAGAGGGGTGCTTCTTAAATCCGTGGGTAATAAAATATTAAAAATGAAAAAAATTACTGTCAAGATTGGTTTTGAAGATCCAATTTTAATTTAATTAAAGACATTATTCTTCAAAAAATGTACAGGAAATAATCTAGACGTTAATATTTTGCTTAGTTTTTACGAAAGGGTTAAGGCATCTTCACAAAATCTTACGATTATTTGGAAATTAAAAGAATGCAAAGCAGATCTTGCTCGATCATTCATTACTGTACAATTTACTGCACATTACTGGTTGTCGATGCGTTAAAAACTTCGAGCTATTTTTTCAGTCCTCATCTTAAGAATATTAAAACTTCGAGACTGAACAAAATTATCTGTGTACATAGTTTATTTTCGATACTTTCTCCGAGGTATAATATCCTTCTCTAACTAAAAACGATCCTTCAATACCCATCCCGAAGACATAAACAGCAATCAATAATTCTCCAAAATATTCCATATTCCACATAAAACAAACAACAGACTTTTAATATTTCAGAACCGATGGATTTGCAGTCCAATAAATAACCTTAACCGTTGAGTGGTCACGTGAACGGTTATCATTCATAGAATTGAAAACATCAGCCATTAATTTTTCCGGCGGCGGGATCGGCGTCTATATTATAGAGTCTGTTTTGGAGAGTATACCCATTATCTTTGTTCAGCGTCAAGGTGAAAACCTCTAAAGACATCGAAATAATATTAGAAGTAAATGATGTACGAACACTACGTCTAATTGCAAAAATAACAATGGATGGCAATTGTCATCCACGAGACCACACATGTTTAAGTGCCGAACGTGACCATTCGCGGTTTAAGAACTGCTGGGAACAGCACCCCTCCCTTGTCTTTCCAGGGTGAAGGCAACTGTCATTACCGTGGTAACGGCTGCCAATTAGTCTGCCACCGTGATGCACCCGAAGATGCCGATGAAGGTTCGTGGTGCCGCACTGTCGAGGATTCGCGCCGCCTCTGACCACGACTGCACCGCAGATACGGCACTGTGCACGGAGAGGATCGTTGCATAAGTCGAAGTGTGCCCAAACCGCGCTAGGGTTGGTCATAGCCCGCAAGCCGTGCGAAGGTACGCGACGCGTAGCGCCCGCGTGTCGTCTGCCTGACGACGGCGGCGACGGAGACGGCATCTCGGCCGCCTCGAGGTAACAATCCTCCTCGTCTTCCGGCTCCTGCTTCATCGTGACCTCCTCGAGTCTGATACCCTCCACGATATCCTCGGTGGAAGGCGCGACTAGGTCCGCCGCCGGGTCTGTGTCACGGTCCTCGTTGAGAAGACGGCGGGCAGTCAGCTTCACGGTGTCCTTACAGGCCACCAGTACAAGCCGACCCGCCGTCGCGGCCGTCGTGCTCGTTTCTGTTGTTCCGCTTTAAACCCTGACACTACCGCCGATCGTATTTTCTCGTTTACTGCGGATCGTTCTGTCTGCGGGACGAAAAGGCGACGTTCTCAGATACCGAAGCTGGCAATACTGTTGGCGGGAGGCTCTCCGGTTCGAATTTCGCGGAGAGACCGTATACAACCGGTCCGTTTCAAATTTTTAACGAATTTTAGGAGATAAATAACATTAGTCCCTTTTAACCCTTACGTCGAGATAACCGGGTATCTGACTCTGATTTACGTTTGGAAATTCTCTTCTCTGTTTTCATTAGGTAATTGCTAAATTAATTTCAGACCTTTTTAGATAATGTTAGGTTGTTTCACGTGGGCTTCAGGGAAGTTTTGGGTATCGTGTTTTCAAACTTAACGCCTGCGCAGTAATCAACCTGCGTGTGTACTTTCACAGCTGAAACTATAATTCGGTAGACGAAATAAAAAGAAAATTACTTGATTGGAGTTCGTTTATTTATTCATTTGTGTTAATGGATGTCTTGCCGTGTTTAACGATGCTTCTGATTATTTTTCGTTATTTTAACGATATTCCCAATTATATTATATTTGAAATATTTTTATTTATTAATCTGCCTTAATGGACATTTATCAGAATAGTATTGAAAAAATGTATAGAACGGAAATTTTTGTTGTACGTTTAATTAATCCAAATAGTAATACTTTTGGGGTATCTCGGGGCACTTTAATTGTTAGACACTGTAAAAAGTGTTGGTTATTGACGCAAGGGTTAAAATGTTCAACCAGTATAATTTATTTTTCTACATAATATAGAGGCTCTTAAAATGTGTTTTATTTAAAAATCTATGTCAAAATAGGCAATATTACCCTTTGGAAACATCAACACATTCCACAAAGGATCATATTCAGTAACTTAACGTTAATACCTATTTTTATTTTTAAAAAAATGTAATTTTTCATAGAAAGTAATACAAAATTTTAGAATAATGTTCCAACATTTTTTCATTTTCCATGAAAACTCGTTTCAGAAAAGAAATAATTCAAAGTACATTAAACGTCTGTCAAGTACATGTACTTTTAAAAATGTGGACCAACGTTGTTGAATGTTAAAACAGCATAGTTAGGTATCAAACAGTACACATTGCTCTATTTTAAAATACAGGCAAGAATAGAAACATCAATTTCTATATTTTTCGTAGGAAATCGTCCATTTAACAAATGTGCCGTAATTACTGGAACACCCTGTATGTTACGCCCTTTCACATCTTTTGCGTCGGAAAGATCGAGTGTCCTCGGGACATTTATGGTGGGGTTATGGTGGGGTGACCGAATCCTTCGCTTTTTACGTACTACGGAAGCTATCCAGGATATTAAAATTTTTGCATCAAATAAATTTTGTATGTTCACCTATTTATAAACAAAACTTTATATCTTTGGCATTTCTAGCTTCCTACTATGACAGAAACTCGTTAATGTCTTCGAGTTCAAATGAAGGGTCTTTTCTTGTCAAGTATCAAGATTCATTGGTTGAATATTTCATGGTGACTTCCGATTGCGTAGGCTTTCCATGAGTGATCGTGCAATTCCTCTTTAATGTTAACAAGCAGACTGCAATGCTGAGGTCAATGACTTGTTTCAAATTTCACACCTCGAACATAATATCTATTATATTATACACATATAATAATATATTAAACCATGAATAATGGTAATAATAATATATTAAGTGCGCAATTTAATACCAACGCAAATTTTGCGAAATACTAAATTCTCGATGCTTTCAGTGTGCTGTATGTTGAATCTGTACTCTCATGAGAGTTCGAATTACAATCACGTTTGGTTGTATAATATTCATGTGGTCTAAAATTCGAATTGAAACATTATACATTTATAATGTATGAGTCTCGTAACACGCAAAACTGAATAAAATTTAACATATTGGGTCGTAATGTAAATACGTTCGGATACATTCAACGTTTATTTTGTATTATTAGTTTCATGAAACAATGAAATAACGATGCTGAATTGACCAGAAGTGGCTTTCTGTTCATCACAATTATGCACATTTGCAATAATGCGATAATTAAATTTTCTATAAAGCTGAAATTAAGCTTAAACCGTAAATTGCGTTTCACTCCGCAACTACTCTATTAATTAATACTAAGACGTAATATTTTGCACGAAAGCTTTTTTTGAAGGTCTATCGAATGATATATGGCACGGTCAAATTTTATTTCGAGGCACGTTTATCATGCTTATTCGGATATACCTTTTGTTTGTAAAAGTATAAATTTGCATGAATATCTACAGTCTATTTATAAATTATTGAAACTAATTTTTTCATGAATACATGGAAAATGAAATCAATAACAAACATCATTTAAATAATATAAAGTATTAATTAAATGATTACGCATTAAAAAATGAAGTGACAGAAATTTGAATATTTGTAGCGTATTTATATACACTGTCATCTTTTTCATAGTGTAATGAAATTCCAAGGAATAAATTGTTGACCATGGTTTGCATTAAAGTGGAAAATATTTCTAAACTAAAACTAAAGTAAACTAAAGAGTATTCCGTATGGATTTCAAGAAATAAAAAAAGCGATTTTATTTGAAGTCCGCGACACAAATTTGTGTTAGTAATTTAATTAGGCTCCGATCGGAAGAGTATCTATAACGTTTCTGTTAGACATACTGGGGGATTCACTGCGTGCCTAGCTCTAGATAACTGTGTCACATCGTTTAACCTGTTTAAAGCATCAAAATGAATGAAAAATCATGTTCTACTATTATTCTCTGAATGAATCGATAATTTACATTGAATTAATTTACACTTCATTTATTTCATGAAATAATTCTATTCGAACAAAGTAAATTTTGGAAATTCGAAAATATTTCCTTTGTACGTTGCTCCCTTGTGTATAATTTATTGCTCCATTGACATGATGTGATTTTATTCACGTTGTAATCCTTTTTCTGCTCGAATTGGAGTCACTTTTATTTTTTACGAAGAATGCATCGTTTTTAAAGATTGTTTAAAAGGGCACTGTTATTACTGCACTATTAAACATTAATATCAAAATATTCTGATTTCAAAAATGTACATACGGTTTTTTCACTCCTTTTCACTGGTTTTCACTCGACAGTCGATTTTCAGTTGTTATTTGATTTAATACAGAGAATTATAATATGATAAATTTGACATTCAACATTAATGTTTATGTAATGTATTAATATATATTAACTAATAATGATTTTTTTGCGTTAGTCGTAACATATGTTATCGATATTTCATAAAAAAATAACGAATATTTGTATCGAACAAATTTCGAGTACAAAGAGTTAAGGGAAAGCCGAAGACGACATCTGGATTCACCATGAAACATATTCTCATCGTAGAATGCTTCAAAAGATACCACGAATCACCACAGACAAAGTATTCCTTCAAACACTGACATTAAGGGAAATATTTCCGGGTGGACAGTGTAAGTTCTAGTCGCATTGATATTAACCCTAGATTCACGGACCTTCATTGTACACTTGATTGTGTTGTTTCTAGAGAAATAATTGTTTATTTATATAGATCATGGGAAGTGGAACTTCAAAAATAGAGAATCAGGGCGCGTATTCGCATAGTTGCATCAATCAAAGTGAACTTGAACTTTCATTAAACATTCATAAAATTTTTTGCCCGTCAAACTGACGGGTTCTGCGAATCTAGTGTTAACTG